GGGTCCCTTGGGGGCCCCCGGGGGCCCCCCAGGGCCCCCTGGGGTCCCTTGGGGGCCCCCATTGGACACGAGGCAGCCTGAGCAGCAGGCCCTCTTGGGGGTTTATGGTTTAGGGTTTAGGGTTAGCGCTTTAGGGTTTAGGGTTTACGGAATTGGGTGGAAAGCCTCCAGGTGCCCTCTGGACAAATCCCACATAAGTGCTGCTGCTGTTGCTGCACCGGCAGCAGCAGCAGCAGCAGCAGCAGCAGCAGCAGCAGCAGAATAGCTGCATGTGCTGCAGCAGGGAGACTTTATGAGGCTCCCAGCTGCTGCAGCAGCACGGCGTCTGTAGCAATGAAAAGCTGCTGCAGTTTGGCCACTCTCTTTGCAATGCTGCTGCTGCTGCTGCTGCTGCTGCTGCTGCTGCTGGATGACACAGCAGCAGCAGCAGCAGCAGCAGCTGTGTGGAGGGCCATAGGGGACTCAGGGAGACCGTCGTCAGAGGCGGTCGCTACCTGCTGCTGCTGCAGCTCTTGCTGCTGCAGCTCTTGCTGCTGCAGCTCTTGCTGCTGCGGCTCTTGCTGCTGCAGCTCTTGCTGCAGCGGCTCTTGCTGCAGCAGCTTCTGCTGCAGCAGCTGCAGCTGCCGCGTCTCTTGAAGACGCCGAAGCAGCAAGCTAACGAGGCCCCCGTGAGGTGGTCCCTTGCTGCTGCTGCTGCTGCTGCTGCTGCTGCTGCTGCTGCTGCTGCTGCTGTCTTGCAGCCTCTGCAGGCGAGCAGCAGCAGCAGATGCAAATGCTTGGTCTACGAGCTGCAGCAGCAGCTGCGGGGAGAGAGCTGCAGCAGCAGCAGGACATTCTTTCCTTAGGATTCTCCGGGCCTTCCGCAGCAGCAGCAGATGCTGCTGCTGCTCTTGCTGCGCCTTCGGAGGCTCCGAAGGAAGCAGCTGCAGCACTTCTTCGGTCGACAGAAAGAGCTGCTGCTGCTGCTGCTGCTGCTGCTGCTGCTGCTGCTGCTGCTGCTTGCTTTGGGCCTCTGCTGCTGCCTGGACTTCTGCTGCAGTGGGGAGGGGCGGCGCAGCGAGAACAGCAGCAAACGCTGGGAGCTGCAGCAGCGAGCTGCTGCTGCTTTGCTGCTGCTGCTGCTGCTGCAGCAGCAGCCTGCTTCTCTCCACGAGGCCCTCTAGCTGCGCTGCTGCTGCAGCACGGGGGCCCTTCAGGGGCAGCAGCAGCAGCGCCTGCTGCGCAAAAGTGCGCAGCCAGGTTTGCTGCAGTAGAAAGTTGCTTTGCTGCAGCAGCTGCTGCTCCTCTGCCAGCACTCTGTTTGCTGCCTGCTGCAGCAGCTGCTGCTCCCGGGCTGAAAGGCTCTGCAGCGCAGTTTCACCACCGCGCTTGCTGCTGCTGCTGCTGCTGCTGCTGCTCCTGCTGCTGCTGCTCTCGCTGCTGCTGCTGCTGCAGTGATGCATGCAGCGAGTGGAGGTGGCGGCAAAGGCTGCGGTGCCGGTGGTGCAGCTGCTGCGGCTGCAGCTGCAGCAGCGCAGCAACAAGGGGATTATCAGCTCTAAAGACAGCAGCAGCAGCTGCTGCTGCTCCTTCTGCAGCAGCGGGAGCAGCTGCAGCAGCTGCTGCTGGAGCGGCAGCTGCTGCTGCCGCTGCAGTTGCTGCAGTGCTCTGGTTGAAAGCTCTTTTGCTGCGGAGAGCTGACCCTTCTTGCTGCGCTGCCTGCTGCACTTCCTGCTGCACTTCCTGCTGCACTTCCTGCTGCTCTTTCTGCTGCTGCTGCTGCTGCTGCTGCTGCTCGTCCAAGCTCTGGTGAGCCTTAACAAGGACCTTCTGCAGCAAACACAGCCGCAGCACCTGCAGTCTCCTTGTGACTCTCTGCAGCGCTTCTTTGTCCAGCTGCTGCTGCTGCTGCTGTTGCTGCTGCTGCTGCTGTTGCTGCTGCTGCTGTGTGCAGACACACGAGTGTGACAGCGCGGGGGTCTCTTGCTGCTGCAGCGCACGGCGAGGCTGCAGCAGGTGCGGCATCGCCGCAGCAGCAGCACGTGACTCTACTAACGCCGCTGCCGCTCGTTCTGCTGCTGCTGCTGCTGTTGCTGCTGCTGCTGCTGCTGCGTGCACCTCCTGTGCTGCCAAGACAGCGGCTTAAAGGCCCTTGAGACTTTTAATAAATCAAAATAATGAAGAAATAAAGATAACTAATTAAAGGGGGGAATTAGATCTTCTTGCGGAACCCCGGGGGCCCCCAATGGATCCCTGGGGGCCCCCCAGAGGGCCCCTGGGGGCCCCTGTGACGGCAGCCCGTAGGGGCCCCCTGGCTCGAGGGTTTGGCTGACTTTGCTGCATCTTTGACTTTCATTTAAATTATTAAAGTCAAAATTGAGTGCTGTTAGCAGTTTGTGTGGCTGCTGCTGCCTCAGCAGCTGCAGCAGCAGAGCAGAGCAGCAGCAGCAGCAGCAGCAGCAGCAGCAGTCGAGCCAGCCGTTACAGCGACCCGCAGCAGATCCCACGGCCGCAAAGCAGC